TTCCAGTGTCTTTAAACTAAGCTTGGTGCGCACATCTTCCAGTAATGTTACTGGGAAACACAGCATGGTGGTAACAGCATCCCAACGTCCATTTTACTGCTGGAATCGTTCCTGCCTTTCCCTGCACGTCCATGGAACCTGCAGCATCACCACTCTTTCTGATAGGAAAGGCAGCCCTTCATTGAATGAGTTTGGGTGACCACTAGTGGAAAGTGTCACTGGTGGGAGATGAGGTACCCAGGCCCTGGACATGACGCCTGAGCACAGCAGGACTCAGCTGCCATGGAGGGACCACAGAACCCTGGGAGGCTGAGGGCTCCTGTGCCGCTACTGCTATGTAGCTGGGTCAGGTTTTGTTTCCTGAAAAATGGAAATGATGAAGGAGGTTGAAACCCACAATTTCTCACTACTGTTTCAGATTATCCTTGAAGATTGGAGTTTTCCCTGCTGCGTCTGTCTGAGATTGTAAGAGAAAGGGAAACCAAAGCATGCAGAATGGGGGAAAAAAGAAAACATGCTTCCCCTGTGATGCTAACCCATTGTATATGTAGTAGCTGTACGAGGGGTCAAAGTCAGTTTTAATCCATTGGGATACACATCTGAAGATGAGACAACAGGGTGAAAACTTGCAGCCAAACACGAACTTAGGAAGACCAAAATGTAACTGCTACAAATCCAACAGAGGATACATGGGGAAGTCTCTCAATTCAGCAAAATTATCACTGCAGTGAAAATAATAAGCAAGAGGTCATTGACTATGAATAGAGTCTGAGAAATATTTCCCCAAGTGCTGTTCTGAACTGGCAAGAATTTGGCCGGAAACACTGATTAATGCTATTGTGCACTGCTGTAGAGACCTTATAAGTTTTTAGCAGCAATGTGGTAGCAAAAAACAGAGGGCCAGAAGCAGACCTATTCTTTGAGGAAGACTTATAAAACTAAAGGTGGAACCACACCAAAAATCTCTCACAGATTTACAATGCTTTAGGAAAAGCTTGGGAGTCTTATGGTAATGTAGGATTATTTACAGCATGAAAGATATTGAAGGGCAACAACGTGCACAAACAGGACTCCATATTTTAGGATCACATGTTGGAAAACAACCTCACAAAATGCTGGCAAAGTCAAGTAATTTCATTTTCGAATTGCCTCCCTTTTGTGATAGATGTGCTTAATTTTTTTTTCCTGGACAAATGACACATTTTCTTCCATTAAATATGAATTTTAGGACATGCATTTCAATGAGGAAAAAAAAAGACATTGAACCCATTATATCTGAGTTTGACCAAAAACCTGAAAACCAGGTTTTGCACAAATAGAAAATGGAAATGAAAAGGCAGAGACCACTGGCATCAATGTTACCATCTACAGTGCAGTTAGTTAAGTCAGAAGAGAGAAAGAAAAAAAAATGAAAGGAAATCAGGTTAATTGTCAGTTGTCAAACTATCTTATAATTAAGTGTGAGGAGACCAAAAGATGTGCAGGTGTTTAAAGGCATTTCTAGTAATAAGATGGGATCAAAAGCTTGGGTTTGTTTTGATCAGAAAGCAAAGAGCTCAGAAAACTCCTTGATAGACTCTTTCATGAATTCAAGTGGTAAAGGAGCAGTAATGCACAGGTATGTACATGGCTCTTTGCACAAAACCATCTTTGAGCATTTCACCTTTTCTCTTTCAAAATGCTGTGCTGCTCAACCTTTCCACAGGCTAGAAAACCATCTCAGATCATCACAGGGGATGAAGACACGCAAGGATTGATTACAGAAGTGCATCCGTTTGGTTGAAAAAACCCATCAGTGGTGGGGTGTCACATTCAAAGAAAACATGATCTTACTCCTCATAATCTTATTTCTTTTTAAATGTTAAATGGCTTCAGTCACTTTCTGCTATGGCTCTTTTATCTTGCAGAGGGTGCAAGGGCTGAAAAGGGTTTTAAGAATGAAGGAAAATGTTTCCTTTTTACAACCACTTCCTCACTTTTCTCCCACCATATCTCTATCCTGGTTGCATCATGAAGACTTGAGAATGATCCTGCCTTTTTTTTTTCTTTTCTATTTCAACAGTAAATTGTACATAAAAGTGTTTGGCTCCAGTTCAAAGGGGATTGTCCACACTTTTGTGGTAAGGTTCAGAGTTCCCAGGACTTGAAATGAGGAGATGCAGCAGGGTGTCAGGATGCCACTTTTCTAATGCTGAGCTTCCCTCAGGGGCAGGGCTGAGAAGGAGATCCTAAGTTAGGAAATCCTGCAGGGCTCCCTAGGGTGAGCTGCTGGCATTGAGCCAGCTGGGGAGCATCCTGAGGACAGGGCACAGGTCCCGGCCCCTTCCCTGTGGCACAGACCCTTTACCGGCCATCCTCTAACATGTGCTCTCACCTGCCCCCTCACTGAGGGTGGCTGTGATAATTAATGACCTGCAGTTCCCAGATTGTTCAAGGACTTAGTTAAATACAGGCACAAAATTAGCAATGGCAGAACTGCCCTAGTAAGGTATACTGAAATATCTCAACAGGTGTTTGAGGGTCCTTTTGTACCATCTATGCTGCGAATTCAAAATTACACTAGTATGAAAATTTCCCTGCTGTTATGGGGTCTGATCTGAAAATTCATTGCCAAAATGGGAAGATTTGCACTTTGTTTTGCTTTGGATGAGGACTGTCTTCTGCTGCCAGTCATTTTTCAGCTTCCAGTACTGAAAACCCTGGGTTGGGGAGATGCTGGGTCACTTTGAGGGATCTCCAAACTTCTCCATTCTGTTGGATTTTGTTTGTTTTAGACCTTGCTGGCTGTGCTTTCCTGAAATGAGAATAGGGAAATGTAGTGCCAGACATACTATTTATGTGTCCGCAAAAGATGCAGTAATGAAAACAGCATGGAGTTTGCAGGAGGAGAAGCCCACATCGTGTCAGGGGGCCTGTGTCTCTAAGACAATTACTGGAACAAGTGGCTGCTGCAGAGGCAAAATCACCATCAGGGCTGAAAGCTCTGTCAGCTGCCCATCTTCCAACATGGAAAGCAGACTTAGACAATGTGTTTTCATTGGCAACTTCAAGGAACAAGATGAAGGAGATGCACAAGAGATGACAGAAGTCTGTGAGGACAGCTTGCCCTGGTGAAATAACGAAGGAAAGGAAAAAACGACAGAAGCTAAACCACAGCTAGTTCCAGCTAGAGGAGCTAATTAAACAGACCAGGAGGAAGTTCAGAGCAGCAGTATGTCTCAGGCACTGGCTGTTTGTTAACTAGCAACACCCAATTCTCACAGAAGCACCTGGAGAGGTGGTTTTCCAGAGCCATAGCTAATGTTCCAAAAGTGTTTCTTTAAAAGCCGACAGCTGGAGTTAGCAACAGATGGTGAAAGCATAGAGAAAGCAGAAATTAAAACCAGAGGGCAAAATGGGAATTGTAATGCTAGTACCAAACATTCCTGTCGGGTGAGATTCAGTCATCCGTGGATAATAAGCATGCTGTTGCAAGTCCCCGTTGCATCCCAGAACTAAAGTTTGAGTGAAACATAGTCCTTTGGAGGGCCATGTATGTGGGAACCATATGTCACCCAAGGAGAACAGCTAGTCTTAAGAAATTGGCTCAAGGGATTTCTGAATTTCTAATAAGTGATCTGGAGCAAAGCAGAGAGAAAATGAAGCAAGATCCCAAGGAAAGGTCTTCCTCTGCATATGTGTGTGTGTGTTAGCCTGCAGCTTGTTTGTTTTGCCATAAGATTTGTAGTGATTCCCACATGCTGAAGCTCCAGGTGATTCAATGAGTAGACAAGGTTAAAAAGCAAGAAGGTCAAAGAATGAAAAATGAGCAGATGTAGTGTGATTAGGAAAGATGAGAACACCTTATGGAGCTCAAAGCAGGTAAAGAAAGTAAGGTATTCCTTAACATGCAACACAGTGTAGAGAGAATGGGATGGGAGAATGAGAAGAGTGAAGCTGCTGCTGTTAAGGGCTCAGAGTCCATAGGAGAATCTCTATGTCAGAAAGTCTTTAGGTTCCTAAGTCTGAAACTATGATTCAGAAAATCCTGTCAACTCATTGCTTCCCTCCATAAATGTCCCTCATGCAAGCCAGAAAGCTCCCTTGGTAGCTAAAGGTCTCCATTGTGCCAAGGGCCTGACCTGAGCAGGACTTTTGCTTTGCGATGAGTGACAGGCCTTGGTCGTTCAGTGGCAGGGGTAGGTTCCTGCCAGCCTTATGCTTTACAGAACAGATGGACAGCTCAAACAAATGAACAAGTAGTAGAATTTTGGTAAGTCCTGGAGGCACTGGGGCTCCCCAGTTTCCTTGCCTTGGCTGCCATTGCTGGTTCAAGGAATCTCTTTGCTTGCTGAGTCTCCATTATCCATAAGTCTCTGTGGGTCCTGGATTGGCAAGCCAAGGAGATCAGCTCCATGTTTCCATCGTAAGGAGAAAGATTCCTGGGAAGCTGGCTTCTAAGCTAAACTAGAATTGTCATCAAAATTTGTGCTAGAGACAAGGATGACATGCTCTCCCAAAAGGCTTGCACAGCCTTCTAGGGCTTGGCAGAAGAGCGATTAGCTTCCCTAGACATCTATTGTCATCTTGAACAGTGGAGAAAAACCCACAAATGCGATGAGTAAGCTAATAAACTTGAAAAAAATAGCTTTGAGTGCAGGACATGTTTATACTTAAAGGAAAAGAAAGGTAGCGCTCCCTTTGCTGAAGCAGGGCAGGTGATCCTCGAGACCTCATGCTTCAAATATATTTCCTGAGTTCCCATGTAAGCCCGTTTTTCTCTGCAGCCAAGACTCACATTACAGGATCAGTCACACAGAATCACAAAGAATCATTTATGTAGGAAAAGACCTCCAAAATCATTGAGTCCAACCTTTGACCAATCACCACCTCATCAACTAGACCATAGCACTAAGTGCTATTCCAGTTGTTTCCTGAACATTTCCGGGGATTGTGACTCCACCACTTCCCCGGGCGTTCCATTCCAATGCTCAACAATCCTTTCCATGAAGAAATTCTTCCTGATGTACAACCTGAACCTCCCCTGATGCAGCTTGAGGTGAGACCCTCTGAATTTTATCATGGCAGCCAGGCAAAAATGATTAACACAAGACTTCTGCCTTGGGACTAGTGTCAGCTGGAAGAATATCAAATCTGGGGACAAAGGAGAAGGAGAAAAGAAATATTTTTTTTCCCCAGAATGATTTATCACCATCTATTTGAGTCTGACCAGATGGCTGCAATGTTAGAAGCTGTCTTGAGGAAGGAGAATTTATTTATTTAAAGAGGTACAAAACCTTTCACAGTGGGCCATATTTGTTAAAGACAAGACTAACTCAGGAGCTGCCAGGCACAGCCTTTAGCTGCTTGGCTGAGTGTTCACCTACGGGTGTGTGCAGCCTGAGCAGACGTCCTCTTCTTGCCTGTTACTCAAAAAAGCAGTTGCCTTTGGTCTGGGACAAGTAGAGGATTTCAAGACCCAGAAAGAAAAAAATAAAAAAAGAGCAATCCCAACCCTGCAGTTTAGTATTTACTAGCAAATGGGAATTTGCTTAGCCCATATTGGCATTTTACATTTACATCACGGGATGAAACAAGATAAGAGTTTTGGATGCTGGGGCCAGAGCCCATGGCATCCCTATGGAGAGCAAGTGGCTGCTGTGTGTTGTCTGTGGTACAACAGCTTATGTTTATCACTGCAGTGTGTGTCACACAGCCAGGGAGGGCTACAGGGTCACTCAACCCCAAACTCCTCTCCCTGGGGAGGGTCCCAGCCATAAGGTTGCTGCATTTGGAAAGGCAAAAAGGGGAAAGCTGTGATTCACAGAGAGCTCTGTCCTGGTAGACTGTTTGTGAAAACGTGCTCTGAGAATGCCTGTTGAATCACATTCCCAAAATACTAAACCAGAGCAAACAGCTAGTACCTAGCCTGAAGTGAGGTGCTGAATTGTCTGAATGGAGTAAACAGCCCAGACAGAAGCTTTACTAAAAGTCCTCAAAGGATTATACAGTCAAGTGGAGATGCCTTGGGCTAACTCTGGTGTGGGATTTAAATGCCAGCTAAGCTGGGTGTATGAATACCTAATTTTAGGAGCTAGGCTTTCCAAAAGATGTCAGAAGTGCCTGCCAGAACTTTATGAGAACAGAGGAAAAGTAAACTTAGATCTCAAAACAGGATTCAGAGTAGCTATCAGGTTAAGCATTAAGTCACAGCAGGTCAAACCATACATGTGAGGCACCTGGAGGGGCTGAAGTCCTGCAGCACCCAGGGCACCCACACCAACATCTATGTCTGAATTCCCCATTCTCTCCCTGGAACAGGGTCTATGTCTGCTCCTGAAAAGGAGGGGCCTCTATTTATCTAGTGACTGGGAAATAACTAACTAATCCTGCAAGTGTTCATCTCAAGTGCTGGGTAACCCATTTCTGTATCTACACTATGGGTAGCCTGTCTCTTCCATGAACTCCTTGGATGGGCACTGCATCTTCTCTTCAGCCTGTCTCTGACCCCATCTCCTCTTGATCCTGTCTGGAGCCCGGGGCTGGACACTGGACCTGGTACACTGCCCATGTCAGGGGTTGTTGATGGCTCCCATTCCCAGCTCCCAGATCTGCCGACCATGGTCCAACCCTGTGGGACTGCACCCATCAGCGAGGGCATGGTCTGTGCTGGTGTCCCCCTTGCTCCCAGATCCCTCATCTAACAACTGAGGCCACTATTGGCTGCCCCAAAGGGAAATTGGGCTGTCCAGAGGAACTCAGCCTTAGCGACCACATCACTTGGCACAGGCTGCAGCTGACATGTAGGATAAGGGAGCTGCTAAACAGAGCACCTATATCTTTCGGGGGACACTGAGATGGGGCAGCACCTGGGCACTGTCCCAGTCTTGGAGGATTCCCCCATTGCTGGAGTCTAGATCCCTGTCAGCCATTTGGTGGTGGCCAAAAGGGAGGCTCAGCTAGAGGCTGCCATGCCTTTTCAGCTGGTTAGAGAGAGCCAACTCTCCTGACCAAAACCTGTCCTCCATTCCAACTCAGCTGCCCTCAGCCACCAATGGAGGCCACTGCTATTGCAACACAATAAAGCCCATCTGCACCACGGCCTTCAGAGCAGGGTGAAGTGGCTGAGGGGTTAAATGATTCAGTCTATCACATCCCTCCTCAAATTACTGGTACATCATCCTCAGCTCCCTAAGTAAGAGCCAAAGAGAGAACTTGCATGGTTCAGTGACTACAGCTAAGCACCAGCCTGATGGCTGTTGTAGGACCTTGGGATGAGCTACATGTCTCAAAAACAGCCTTTGACAGCTGAGGGGAACAGCTCTTCCTTAGGCTTCATAAGCAGGAACTCCATCAGCCTGTGCCTCTGAAAACAAAGATACACAGTTCTTATCCCCATCATCTCCTGAGACGTGACATGTCTGTATTTCCCTGGTGACTGCTCCCCTTTTTTTCAACAGGTCCCGCTACAATGGGTGTCTTGCCCCCCCTCAGTCACTCCGAGGGACTGAAGAGGCCACGACATCCCTCTGCAGTTAATGCTCTGATGGATACTCCCTTGCACCTGATTAGATCAGTAAAGCAGAAACCAGTGTATATTGTTGTTAAACCCTGAGGTACAATAAACATGTTTTCACAGAAAGAATGCCTCTCCAGCATGTCCACCATCAGGGTGATTCTTTCTCTGACCCAGAATTGCTGTCTCTAGTTGGCAGAAAAAGCTGCCCGATTCTCAGCACAGGGAATGTTAGCAGTCAAAGAGGATGGTTACTTGTCTCAAACACTGTTAAGGCCACAGAAGAGAGGAATTTGTGACAGGAGGGTGCTAATTCCAGGTCTGGCAAAGGTAAGATCTGGTTAGCACATCCTGGTTAACACATCTGGACAAAATTCGCCCATTGTGACAGACTCTGAAAAAGATCAACTGCTTATACGCATACCACCAGTCAAAGAAAGATCATCCCAGGCTGTGGGACAGACGGCATCTGTGACCACAAAGAGCAATGGAAGCCCCCTGAATATGGCTCTGTGGATACCCAAAACTTGGACTGTATAAAGGTGGTACTGTTTTCCAGGCGTTAGGAAGATAAATTCCATTATCTCAGACCTAGGGGGGTTAACAAAGCTTGGGGAGAAGGACGTATCGCTATCAGTAGATACAAAGAATACAGCATTTAGGGGCCACAAGGACATCTGGCAGAACTTCCAAGATAAGGAAAAAACTAATAAAACCAACTCAACAACTGTGCTGAAATCAGGTCTGACTGAGTAAAAGATAATTCCGGCAGGGGCAGATGGCAACCACTGACTCATGGCCACTGACTCAAAAGAAGAGAGAGACTGAGCATGCAGACTAATCAGCATCAGAAGCAAGAGAATCATTTAACCAATAGAAGATAGAATACTAATTAATATGAGAACTATGTAACTTGTAGCCAACAAGCATTAATTCCTTTGTTTGCTAAAATGTATCAACAATGAAAAGATTTGATAGTTGGCAGTGGGCTTTGTGGACTTGCTACTGAGCACCCTTTTCTGTGCATAATTACAAACAGGGCCCCCCTCCCTACCACTGAGAAGCCTAGGGTGAAGAAGGGCCACTGGGATGCCGCTGGAGCCACGGGTGATGACTATCTCTCTCTCTCTCCCCCCGCTTCCATCTGCAATTTTCTACTTATTTCTATCTCTCTACATCACATTTATTGTTAAATAAAATCCGTATTGTTGACTTCGATATACGGTCTCGTGAGCCCCTCGATTCGGGCAGAGCCATCTCTCACTCATCAGATCTTAACAGGGAACAAGCACCAAAAATAATGAAAGCAGTCCAAAATCTAATGAAATGGTCACGACAACTGTAGCATTCATTAGATGGAAGCAATTTTGTAACTTTGATACCCCTCCCCCTCAATCGACTTCCTCTGGCAAGAGCAGCAGCCCTGGGAGGCTCCAGCAGGCAGAAAGAATGGGCAGCAGGCCCACAGCAGCAAACTGTTTAATGACTGGGTTGTTGTGCAAGTGACTGTCATCTGTTGAGAGGAGGATGTTTTCCAATTTGTCCTTGGCAGCCAAAGCTTTGCTGGAGGATAACCACATTGCAAATACGAGGAATTTCAAGAATTTCTACTTTTGCTTTTGCGCATTTTGAGTAACGGGTGCTCTTGTGAAGATCAGATTTGGATCTGCATTTCCTTGAAGCTCAAGGAGGGCTAAGCATCTCTAATCAGGAAAAGTAATCTCTTTAATTTAAAAATACAGCTGGAGGTTTGTTTACATAGAGTCAAAAATAGAGGTTTCCCAAGCTCTTCAATTTATAGGCAGTGATTATAAATGGTCATTTCACTTTTTTACTGTAATGCAAAGTTTTCCTAGTACCTGTGTCTACCTGGTGAAACACAAAATGAAACACAAAATTCAAGAGCTGAAGCTTGGGTCCTTGTGAATGGTCATAGGTCTCAGCTTTATGCCATTCATGATGAAAACACAGTTCTCATACTAAGAAGCTTTCAACTAAACCAAGAAGCAGTTTCAGCAGAATGTTAATTATCAACACTAAATATATGAAGTAGGAATTAACAGTATTTAACAGCTTGGCCCAGCTACTGAAAGAGATACCTGCACATACCTACATTAAAAAGCTTGTTCTACTACAGCAGAGCTTCCTCTGAAATACAGCACTACCAAAAAACAGCATATTCTGTTGAGCAGTGACACTGTTTCATTTGAAACAATCAGAAGACAATAAGTTTGAAACAATCAGAAGACAATGGTTTATCTGCTCCTGTTACTGCTCCAAAGGATTCTAAATAGTGAAATGCCTGAGCCCTTTATTCAGTTTCTTTCTCAGGAAGGAAACAAGTCCATGTTACAGCACTCCATCACTTGCTGTCACAATGACATGCTGTTGTTGCACACCAGAAATGGCCTGAAAGCATAAAGCAGCACAGAGAACAGTTTTTCACCAGCTAAGCATTCTCACCCAAACTTCTAAAAATTTGCAATAACTGATGTATAACTAACTGATGAATAAATTCCTCTGTTATTTAGTATGGTCATGGTTGTTCAATGACTGCTAGGTGGCAAAGCAAACATTAATTTTTTTTCTCTTGTTCTTGCCTTCTGACACTCTTGAAGTCCCACAGGAGAAGAGAATATATTATTGATGGCATCATGGAAATGCAATGAATCTTCATGTTTATCTGTTCTTCTGCTGAGGAGACATCAGAGGTTAAGCACAGCTCTTAGCAGGGAAAGAAAAGCAGCATGAAAATTATGGTGCTAAGAACTAAATGGAATTGCCACCTATGAGTTCAGGTGACCCGCTGAATTAAGGCATTTCATGCAGCTCAACCTACAGCTGGTCTGTAGCTTCACTGTGTGCAATCTTACATTGTAATACAATCTTGTTTCCTAAACCCAGGAAATTCCACTCCCCTCCATGTCTGGGAGAATGCTTATTTTGGAGCCCACACAGCGAACATTCACATAGTCTCCTGAAGTACTGAAAGGAGTCAATACAAATGCTACAAACTCAAGACCTTTCTATTGCTTTTATTCTGATTATTTCCCTAGTATTTTGACAGTGAGGATAAGATGAAAATTATAGATAATATTTTGGGCCTAATAATGCCCTGTGTAGATTATAGACAAATATCTAATTTACTGCTTAGTTAGTCCTATCAGATACCTACGTAATATGTGTGTTGTTTACAACCGCATGCGTTTCCATACTTTAGGAGCTTCAAGAATGAGATCTCCTTCCTTTTTTGCACATAGAAGGCATGAGAGGCATTGAAAGTAGTGCATACACACAAATTGTAGTCTTCTGAGCAGCACATGGCAGGCTGGTAATGTCACAATGGCAGGGACATAACTGATACATTGACTCCAGCTGTGGAAGCTGGAAATGTTTAGGGATAGCACCACATATGACTCTTGCTATTCAGACTTTCAGCATTAAGCTTACCCTGCGTTGGTTTAAGGGCATGAGCACCAAGTTTGTTCCTTGTCCCTGCTACTCTTGCTAGAAAGCCAGAGGGATGTCTACAGAACAGAGATTCTCACTGACACGTTACTGCTTAGCTTTGGTTTTAAATGTTGAATTTTCAGCTGCTGTTACAGAAAATTAGGAGAAACAGCCAAATTACAGTCCTCCTAGTCCAGAATTTCAGTTCATTTCTGTGGATGACAGTAGCTAGTCTAGCTTCCACTAAGGGACCCCGCCACAAGGATTTCTCTACCATGAATAAACTGAATACACAAGCTTATTCAGAAATGCCTATTCAGAAATGTTATCTTGAGGACACACTGTAGTTATCTTCAGGGACATGAGAACTGGAAGGCTACCTCACCTCCCCCTCCTGCCAGGGCAAGGCCAAAAAAACGCCCGAGGAATGCTTTTTCTTTTCCTGGCATGCAGTATAGAAAAGTAGAAGTAATTAAAAGAACATATGGAGAAATGTACAAAGTTGCCAAACCTGGCTGTTTAAACAGCATGGCCTATCCAAATCTTGAAAGGTCTGCACAGGGAGACAAATGCACAAAAGCTGTCTACTGCAGATTTTCAAAACAGAAGAGCTTGGCAGAAATTGGGTGCTTGTTATTAGTTTGACTTCCAAGTCCCTCCCTTGGCCCTTCCCCCTAAATCCTACTCAGCTTGGAAAACCCCTTTCACAGGAGAGGCTGTCAGGAAGAGTCTATAAGCAGACCTTTAGGCAATCCTGAGGGGCAACCTCAGGCTAAAAATAAATAAATGACCTGACAACACAGATGTCTGAAAGCTGCTGCTTGCCATAGCAAATCCAAAAGTACTGCTGCTCATGTTACTGCCTTCCTACAGACAGATGGTAAAGTAGAGCCAAGTCAAGAAAATCCTGGTGAAAGAGGAGAAACCCTAGGTGTCAGGAACAGGTGCCTCCAAACTCTGTCTTGAGTGTCCTTTATACTTACATACCCACAGATCAGCTGCCCTTCTTCCACCGCTAGACAAAAAACGCAGCACCCAGCTGAAGTCCGTATATATTTTTTTTTTGCAGCTACCAAAATGTAAATTAACTCTGTTGCAAAGGAATTCAAATATCTCTCTCCATGAAGAATATGAAGACTCTCAGGTTTTAAAAATACTTCTGACCTTTTTCACATAAATCAACTCTGATGCAAATATATACTCATGGGAGCAAAGACAACTAAGATATCTTTACATCAGTTCTGAAGAGTATCAGAAGGAGCAATATGTAAAAAGTTCATTTATTTCCACTTAAAACCGGATTTTACTTCATGTAGCATGAGCCTCTTACAGGATTTTTTCCTTGATCTTGGTGCAAAACATTAGTATCTATTTTCTAAGAAACATGATTTTGAAAAAGCAGATAGTTGTAAGGAGGTTACTTTGCCCAGCTAGTGAATTTTGCTTCAGGTACTGGAAATAAAAGCCACAAAATACAGAGCATCTTCATAAGATAGCAATTCCACTACAGAGAAAAGAACTTAACCTTGAAACTAGACTAACAGAAATTTCATTAAGTTTTATACAGCAGGAACGGTTTGGCTCCAGGTCTATTTAATCCAAGCCCTGAAGGTTTAAATCCCACTATATTACAAGAGCATTACTAG